AAACACTGCTGCTGGGGGGGGAGGGGGGATTAAGGATCAATAAATGATACTGCAATGTATCTTGTGCCATTCAAGATAGGAAGTCCTTCATGTAAATGAGTAAGTCTTCCTGGGTGCATGAAACTCCATCCTTTCCTGGGAGACTCAATGGAGCAGTTGTACCTAAGAAATTTACATCCACCTCCCTGTAGTAAAAACACAAACAGAACAAAACCCCAAACATTTACCTTGTGTTTTAATAGAGTAAGTTCCTTTTTATTTATTCACAACTTAAAATATTTTGCTATTATTAATAGGCAGTTAACAATATTTTTTTTTCTTTTTTACTATCCCTACTAACAAGGTTATTTAAATGACACCATCTTCAGAGCAATATGTAACAGACATGCATTTGCAGTTAAAGATTTCCGCTTGCTTTGCTTTAGCATTCCCTGGATAACAAGTCATTCAAGCAGCAACTCTGACAAACACACCTTCAATAACTTTACTGTAAATGATATCAGAAAGAAGCAAATCATGTTCACAGGCCTTGTTCCAGGACTGCATCCCTATTCAGGGTAGCATTTAAACAAGTCTTAAATAAATTAATCTCGCTGTTGCTTTCAAACTGAAGGTGTGTTTTCTAAAGCAGTAAGTTTGACAAACACATTGTGTTAAGTAGGACTGTGAATAATACGGGTTTATAAATGTAACAGGTTAAGTTTCTCTACTAGTCAAAGCTGGATATTACTGCCACTGCCCTGCCTATCTCCATACTCTGGGGACTGTTTTATTTGAATCAAAATCAGAGTAGAAAATAATTTATCTCAGGAAAAAAAACCAGGAACAACAGTTGAAAATTTTCGTTGTGTGGCTGATCTAAAAAAGAATCATTAAAAAAGTTGTAAAGAAAAGAAGCCATTTGAGCCAATTTAGGACTATTTACAGTATTTTGAAAAATTGGTTTTCAATGTCCAGAAATGAAGCATTTCAGAAATGTTAAAAATTAAATGGCTAACATCTCCAAAGTTTTTCTTTAAACCCCTTCTCGTCCACCATCTGAAACCATTTTGACCAATTCAGCCTGACTGCATCAACAGTTCTGGATCCTGCAATTGAGCAAATTTAGTACTTGTCAAAAAAATACCAATGAATAATATAGCTCAATTTATGACACACATCTTTTTAACATGGTGTTTAAGTATATCCATTCGGGCTCTAGTTTGGAGATTACATGTGACACTCAAAGGACAACATTTTTTAAGTCAGTAAATTGTCAACTTACTTGAAAGTCCTCTCCTACTTTGTTGAGAGCGATGTTGATTGTGAATGTAGAGGAGTCATGATGAGGTCTGAGTGACCGTTGTCTGTCCGGGCTATATTTTACAACAAAATTCAATAAAGCATACCCCTGAAACAAAATGTACAGTCAGACTTCCACATGTAAACTTCCAAGTCACCCATAGGGTTCTTGGGGTTTTTTGTGCTTAAAGCTGAGTTAACAGCTCAACAACATTCATCTATAACTACTGCTACATCATGTGTAAACTCCCCAGCCAAACCAAATAGGGTATATTCAATAAAATACTTAGAATTAGTCATGCCATGCAGTAATTATCTGCAGAAGTTTTAAACCCATACCTTAGTATAATAGCCAGCAAACACTTTTAGCGTTACTGGGGCAATGAACTCTCTTATGAAATGCAGCCATTCATTATCCAGTCCGATCTGCTTCATATGAATATCATCAGTTGGGACATTTTCATAACCTCCAGAAATACGGCTGTCCTAATGAAAACACCATAAATAGCCTTGAAATATGGACATGAAATGTTTCTGGCACTTCTACAAATATTTATCTGAAGTCTGCAGAACCACAAAACTGCAACAAAGCAATGCTTTAGTGGGCATACATGAGCTTGCCATACAGGAATTTCACAGCTAACTGCTGTGGAAAAAAAAATGCTGAGCTATCAATGAGCAAAAATTGGAAATTTTTTAAAGGTGAGTCAATATTTGGCTGTGTTGCCTACATATAAGGGCTTACTGGGGTAATGGTTTTATTTATTGAGATGTAGATGCAACTGAAGTTATATCAGATCAAGAGAGTACATGCCTCAACTTGACACAGTAATAAATGTTGAAATAACTTGAAGATAAAAGTATGTTAAAAAAAAAGAAAAACAAACACCTTTCTGAAGGCTCCTCCCTGCGGTAAAATAATGACTGTAATTTATCTTTTTTCCAAGGTACCATGTTTGTGAATATGACAAACAGTCCTCCAATTTTGGCGGCAGTTAATGAGTACCTTGAACTTTCTGCAAACACAAAAGCTCATAAGATTTGTGAGTAACTGCTATAGAGGGACAAGTCTGACAAATTACTACTTACGAGGTAAATGAGTAAAATTTTCCTGAAGTTATCAACAGCTATCCAAGATCAGCCCTGGATAACTGTCAGATAACTACTACAGCAACTCCACGCACCACTGTTAGTGTCTGAATTTGCTAGTCCACGGTTTGTGTTGGATTTGCATGGCAAGGTTTTGGTAGCGGGGGAACTACAGGGGTGGCTTCTGTAAGAAGCTGCTGGAAGCTTCCCCCATGTCCGACAGAGCCAATGCCAGCCGGCTCCGAGATGGTCCTGCTGCCAGCCAAGGCCGAGTCCATCAGCAATGGTGGCAGCACTTCTAGGATAACAGATTTAAGAAGGGGGAAAAAAAAAACCAAAACAAAAAAAAACCAACTGCACAATGGCAGCCGGAGAGAGGAGTGAGAACATATAAGAGAAACAACCCTGCAGACCCCCAGGTCAGTGAAGAAGGAGGGGGAGGAGATGCTCCAGGCACCGGAGCAGAGATTCCCCTGCAGCCCATGGTGAAGACCACGGTGAGGCAGGCTGTCCCCCTGCAGCCCAGGGAGGTCCACGGTGGAGCAGATCTCCGCCTGCAGCCCATGGAGGACCCCACGCCGGAGCAGGGGGATGCCCGAAAGAGGCTGTGACCCCGTGGGAAGCCCACGCTGGAGCAGGCTCCTGGCAGGACCTGCGCATCTGCGGAGAGAGGAGCCCACGTTGGAGCAGGTTTCTGGCAGGACTTGTGACCCCACGGGGGACCCACGCTGGAGCAGTCTGTGCTCCTGAAGGACTGCACACCGTGGAAAGGACCCATGCTGGAGCAGTTTGTGAAGAACTGCAGCCTGTGGGAAGGACCCACAGTGGAGAAGTTTGTGGAGGACTGTCTCCTGTGGGAGCATGGGAAGAGTGTGAGGAGTCCTGCCCCTGAGGAGGAAGGAGCGGCAGAGACAACATGTGATGAACTGACCCCAACCCCCATTCCCCGTCCCCCTTGTGCTGTTGGGGGTGTAGGTAGAGAATCTGGCAGTGAAGCTGTGCCCTGGAAGGAGGGAGGGGTGGGGAGAAGGTGTTTTAAGATTTGGTTTTATTTCTTATTATCCATTATGATTTGGTTGGTAATAAATTAAACTAATTTCTCCAAGTTGAGTCTGTTTTGCCCACGACAGTAGTTAGTGAGTGATCTCTCCCTGTCCTTATCTCAACCCAGGAGCCTTTTGTTATATTTCCTCTCCTTTATCCAGCTGAGGGGGGAGTGATAGAGCAGCTTTGGTGGGCACCTGGCATCCAGCCAGGGCCCACCCACCACAAGTTAATTGAGGAATATCTCTAAATCTACTGAACAAGCTACATGGTAGAATAAACTAAGCATTTTATACCACGAAGCAGATGTCTCGGGTCATCAGCAATTGTTGAAATGTTTGTTGCAGTACACTGTGACTTATTATTATAAAGGTACTCACTCATTAAGGTCATGTTTATATAGGCTGACACTTACTTGGTGTTTTCCACCAGACCATTGTCCAAAATGTTCCATTTCTTCGACCAATTCATCACAGGCAGTGTCAGAAAATATGGGAAACCAAAACACATCTGGACATGGCTATGAAAGCAAAAAAAAAAAATTTAAAAAACTACATCACTCTCAGTGGAGTTAAGCTTTTATTTTCAACTGCTAAGAAAGGACATCTTCACTTTTCTTGGTCACTAAAGAAAATCAGTTGTTCTCATCTGAGCCATAATTCAGATACAGTTAAATAATTAAGTTTTGTCTTGATCCACAAGCACATTCTCACAGAATGAAGCAAAAACTACAAGCTACCTTGTAAGCCATGACACAGCATTAACAACCACATCAGTGTACCCATACATTCTGTGCCCTGGTTGCTCTGAATAACAACCCTGATCTTCTACATTACAAGCTATTAAGAAAACCAGTTTAAAACTTAGACTGTTTTAAACACAAAAACAATTTATCCCAGCTTTTTAAGGAAGCAAAGTTCATTATCACTGTCCCTACCTGTCACAGAACTGATCATCCAACACTGGTACAACAATTACCATCTTAGAAGTGCTATGTCCAGATCAGTTGCATGAAAGCAAGCCACCAGGCAGACAAAAAAAACCAAACCAACCAAACAAACAAAAAAAAACACCACAAAACCAAAAAAACCCAAACAAAAAAGACCTCTTTGCATCCAGCAAAAGGCTTTACCTTGGATTCATGGTTGTCAGACCTTAGGAATCCATAGGGAAAGGCACACCAGAAAGAGTCTAGATAAGCTTGTCTTTACTAGATACCAGAAAATACAGACATCTGCTAGAGAAATTCTATTTGGCCTTCTGTCAGTGTTACTAGCTAGTTCAAATAAATAAGTTAAATACATCTGTATTCTGGAGAAGGCAATTACTTGGACAACTACATTATTCTGAGCAATCTAGCAATTATTTTTTTGGCTCCTCTCATCTAGTTTTCAAAATGACAAAAATTCAGTTCTGACCCAAAACAAAGAGCTATTCAGTCAGAGACCAAAACATCATTTGCATGGAAATAGTTACTGTATGCAAATTTATTATCAGTCGGTCACACAAGTTTTAAGAAAACTACTTATACCCACCTGTTCTACTATATTATCAGTGAAGATCTTTGAGTAGTTGGGATTTATATAGGTTTCCTTCCAGTCCTAAAAAGCATGATTTTAAGACATTAAAACAGAACAAATGAATTTATAGGTGAAAAAGAATAATTTATATTCTACTCATTTGATCTACTCAAAGCACTGGAAACAATTAAACAATTTCTTATACCCATAAATGAACTGGTTCTCATCATGCCAAAAATCATGAAACCTGTTACATCAGGGCCATATCTCCAAATTCTTACTTTGGTCATCAGTTGGCTTGTTGATATGATATATTGTCATTTGCTTAAATGGGTGGTAGAGAACACCTTTTAGTACACAACCAATATTTAGTGCATAATAAACAAATGTTCTCCATGCAAAGTCTTTGAATCCCAAGTCCTTTACAATAAACTTCAAAATTTTTCAAATAAAATAATCATCAATAATCAGTTGCATACCACAGGATTTTCAAATATCTGCCAGAGGTCATTGTTGTAGTGGGAGGTATTGTAATTGGCTGTAGAAATAAGTCTTCCAAATTCATGTCTGTTGGTAATGTACATGAAAACACCCTATACCAAGTAGAGAAAGAGTCATTAGCAAAACTGTCCGTCTTGGCAAAAATGTTTTTTAAAAGTCTGTTTGTTTATGCCTGCACTTTCATAAAATATATCACACACTTGTACATACATATTATACACATACTGTTCATTTAGCATCTTTACTTTTCAAACAGTTGATTCTAATCACCAACTAGTGTTCATAATTTCTTGTTTACAGGCATTTGGTTGAATTTATTTTCTAAACACATTAAACCAAAACATGTATTGTTCATAACATAAACCCCCATACAGTTATAGAAAGGAAAAAAAAACAGAGAAGCGATTGGTTGATTTGTTTTCCAGAAAACCTAAGCAGACACACTGGAAGCATCTGTTCTCAAACTGAAAATACTCACACAAGAAAACCAACATCTAGGGCTTAGTTTCTGATTAAAAACTGAGAGAATAAGCTAATAATAAAAAAGCTAATGGAAGTCAGAACAAGAAACTTATTTCAGAGTATTCACTACATGATCCTTCTGGTGAATTGGCCTGAAATAAAAAGATATTGGCAAATACAGCATATAAGAATATTCAGATCAGGATACAAAACAGCTGAGCACTTTGCAGTATGTTCACCTACGCAAACATTGCAGAATATGTGCAAGATATCAAGTGTGGTAACATACAGCTTTATTATCAAGCTATTAACAGAAGATATTAACAAAACTCTCTTGATTAGAAATAGTAGCAGAAAATAGTCTTTTTTAAAAGAGACTTAGGTTCTGTGGGGGTTTTTTTAGTTTACTGTTTTTCAGACTAAAACTTCATTTCTGAAGTGTTTGTGACTTTGGGATTTGCAGCAGATGAAGACATTACCGTTTGGATACTTTGGTATTTCTGTCTATGTTTTTGTCTGAAAAAGTTAAACTGTTAGAAAGATAATGATCATGTTAAACACATGCCCAGTTTTGGGCACTTACCAAATCATGAAATAGCTGCAGCAGGGAGAATAAGGAGGGTCTGGGTCAAGAAAAACAGCTTAAAGTGACACCAATTTCACCACTACCCTGTGTAGTCACTGAGGGGTCCCAGCAGACCTGCTAGCGATTTGAGCTTTAGTCCCTTGCTAGGGCTGCTGAATCAATTTTAGCTATGGAAGCACAGCTTCAGCACACCTTTACCTCAGAAGCACCGAGAAACCCCCTGAAGAAACAATGAGCCTCTCTAAGATGCTTTGAGCTGGTTGTGAAGAACCTCTCCCTGGCAAAAACTTCAACCTTAGAAGACTGAAGAGAAAGCTAGAGCAGTATTTCGTTACAGTAAGTGGACAGAGGAGAAGTATCTTCCTGTGGTAGAATAATACTGCATGTAATAGTAACTAATGAATAAAAAAAAATAAAGCAACACCTTTGGGGGTCTGAGCATATGGAATGTTTCCGAAGAAGGGGAGTCTTTTTCCCTTTGTAAAGTCTAAAATGAAGGAGAATCATCACATCAGTTTTCTGATACATAATCTCTTTCTCTTTTTCCGACTACTATTAGGTTTCCACAGTTACATTAGGGAAATGGCAGCCTTTGATCAAAAGCTGATATGCCTTTACAGACAACATGCATCTCCAAGCAAAGCTCATAATACACATGTCAAAGCTGTCTCCACCAGCCCCTTCTTATCTGCTGCAATACAAAAACAAGCATGTACCAGACCATCGTACAGCACAGACTGAGAAAGAGGAAAAGAGAAAGCAATTTTCTGATGAGCCAGTCAGATTAGTTTAATGAGCGCATGGGAAGCACAGGTTTGCAATCACTGATGCTGAGAAGGTTTGAATACAACAGAATTGGATGGGGATGTTCTGAAGAATCATAACAAACAAAGGAGATCATGCCTTGTTATGAGGGAATAAAAAAAATTAATACTTGCCAACTTTTCTTGTTCAATTCAGCAAAATTATTTTTCAATGCTATAGTGTCTGGAAATAGGTCTGGTTTAGGTCTTATTTGTTTCTGTGCTGAAACTAGTGTAAATATCAGTAGAAATGTGGATTTACATATTCATAATTTTACAGTACAAATAAGTTCTCTCTTATTACTTACAGCTTAATGCAAGTAACAAATTTCTGATACAGTTTTAATCTATCTGGAGAAATTAATGAGTAATTCATGCTCCCTAAGAAGATTCCTACCATTTCATAAATCTCTTAGGCTTTTTATATCAACACTGCCCATCATTAGTTTAAATATGTATCTACTTAAATATAAAATTGCAAAATATTCCAACTTAGTCTGCTACAAGTTTCACACTGTATAAAAACGTGCATAATAGAGATGCTCTAAATGCATTGATAATTTTGAAGTCATACACAGCAGAGAAGTTGAGCCCTCTTTCATCTGCTGAGGTCACACCAACAAGGAAGGTATTTTAACCTCAATAGGAATTTTCAGTGAATTTAAGTAAAAACCATCATGCAGTCAGTGCACCAGTGCACTGGCCTTGCAAAAACCTCTGTTCTCAGCAATTTAATGAAGTACCCCTAAAGTGTTCTATGTCACAAAAATTGGCCAGTACTTTGAATTAAAGTAAAAATATAATATCCAAGATCAATCAAGTGAAGCAGTCAAGTGTAGCAGGACACAGAAGTCTGTGTGTATTTAAAAGCAAGCTGCTATAGATACACCTTACCATTTCCCTGGCGTTCCTGCAGAGAGCCATATCAGGATCCAACTTATCACGCATAAAGTAGTTCTTTTCCTTCATCTCTGACCTGAGAGTTTGTCCCTTAATTAAGTATATATTAGCCATATAAGGAATATTCCATACTCCTCTGTAAAAAAAAAAAACAAACAAAAAAAAAAACCACACAAACAAAAAAAAGACAAACCAAAAAAACAAATGCAAATAGTTTAAAGCTATGAAAACTAATTTGTTGCCTATTCTATCACATCAGGGTCTTTGTATTTGCTGACAAGACTAAGTAAGTTTCAAGGACATGAAGGTGAAAGGTTCCCAAGACATTTGAAAAACTACAGCTGGACATTGTGGACATCTCAAATGTAGGCGTAGGCAGTAATTCAACTTTTATGAAGTATTTTTCTAAAAAATAGAAAGGTCAAATTCTCTAAAGAGTTTTAACTACAAATGTACTTCATGTTTCCATAGTTAAGGCAATCAGTCAAACTCTTTTATAATATTATTCTACAATACCAGATGGAGAAAGTAATTCTAAAACAGATTTTTAAATGAGTTTAAAGACTTCACTGAGGCTTCACACAGCTGGTCTGACCTCTTCACACAAATACCCAAGGACCACAGCAGGCCATGTATTTATGTGAGTCGGGCCAATATCAACAAAAAGCATTGCTGTCACAATGCTCGCTCTGCAGATTTTCTCCCTCCCACTGCCACGAGCACATCTTTCAGTGCGACTGAAAATGAGCCAGTCCTATCCAAGCAGTCAATCTGTTTCAGACCTTTTTGTTCTTCCATGGCAATGAAAAGGCATCATTGCATGGAAGAGTCAAGCTTAGAACAACTTACACCACATTCATTTAGGGGAAGGATAAACCCAAAAGGCTGTGACGAAAGTATTTCTCAAGAGCTGCTTAAGATATATCTGACATAATATACAGGAAGAAACACATGAAGAATTTATAGCTGTTCAGCTGATAAAACATTTGCCCCAAAGAGATGAAGAAGTCATTTGATGAATGCAACAATTACTTCTTTTGACTGAGGTTCCTGGGATACAGTTTTGGGTTTGCTATTTGTTTGTCTTGCCATTTTCTGTATCATGCACTGCTAGAGTAACCAGACACTATCAGACAGGTAATGACTATGTCCATTACTAATACCAGATCATTGCGTTAAACACTTTGCTTTTTTATTGAAGCTGTGAATGGGAAAAAAACAAATGGGAAAACAAATGCATTTCTGTGAAATAGAAAAAGCTACACAATATAACTAACCTAAGCTCTTCAGGAATAATACCATATTGCATGAAAATGTAAGAATATGTTGCTAATAACCATACTGGGTGCCTTGATTTTAAAAATTAGCTTACAATTACTTACACTCTGTTCCCTTGGACAATATCAACATAATCTTCTGATCGAGCATAATAGCCATCTGGGCTCAAAGCACCCCAGAAATTGGACCAAAGCTTCCCATGACGAGTTACAAGTGGAGCAATTATCTTTCTGTGAAGTGACATATTGAACAAAAAAACCACGAACTGTTATACATAGACTATACATCAAAATATACCAGCTTCACACAGTTTGGAGTAAAGCATAGTTAAAATACCAATGACTGTCAAATTTTGGAACAGCAATTCTGAACTTAAGCTGGAAGAAACAGCATCCAAGCACCCACTGCCCAGAAACAACATTAGCGTAACAGAAGCAAGGATTCCTATAAATCAGAGGTGGCTTGATTTTCAGTCAAGCAAAAAAATACTGCCCATAGCATAATGAGAAAAAGCATCACAAAGTCAAAGACATGAAAATAAAAATAAAACACAGTGAGACTTGGCTTACCCAAAATTTAATAGAGTCAAAAGGGGAAATCTAAGTTGACCAGAATAAAAAGAATAAAATGGCACTTTGTTTCAGAGGGTGCCTAATGGTAGATATATTTTGCAAAGCTTCTGTTTCTTCCACCTAGTGTACTTGGCTTTTAGCCCCTTTCTACAACACTATTACAAGGAATATAATGCAAAGGACTGGCAGCCACATCTTTACTTAAGCTCCATCCCTTCTCACTAGTAGGTCAAACTAGACATTGATAATTTATCTTTCTGTGATACACCTGAGATTCTCAGATTTGTTATGAACAAGGAAACACTACCTACCTAACATGGGAATTTACAAATTGGCAGGAGTGAAGTGCACAGCATTCACAGTGGGCCCAGTCTGCTGAAAGGTGCTGCTGATAAAGTCACAACTTTGTATAACTTAAGAGATCATACTAATACAAGGAGAAACTGGACATTACAGCTGCTTCATCTCCAATACCTTTCCACTATTTTATTGCACCTATGATTTAAAAAGAAAGTAATAATAGTGCAATACCAGAGTAGTAAACTCTAGGGAGTTTTTGTCTGGTTTTGTTCTGGCGTTTTTTTGTTGTTGTTCTTTGAGGTTGTTTTTTTTTAACATTTTGTGTGTGACCAACTTTGAAATCATTAGTCAGGGAAATCTTAATTCATTTCATAAAACCTGCTTACACCATACCATTCTCTTCAGAGATGGGCCCCAGAGAATCCTTCCAAGCTAGAGGAAATTCTATAAAATCAAGAGATATACTACACCTGTTCTGTTCTATCAGTATTCTTAAAGTTTTGGGGTTTGTCAGCACGACATCTGCATCTATGCTGAAGTAATATTCACATGCTTTATCCTGGCGACAAAGGTCCCTAAAAAGACAAAAAGGAATGGTTAACTCACACATATCTAGAAAAGATTCACAAACAACAAAAAAAACACCCTCAAAAAACCCAAACCACAACCAAGTGCTCTGCTCACACATTGCATTAAAGGTCCTCTGCAGTGTAGTACTATAAAAGAAAGGTGTCTTTAGATTACAGTACTGTGATAAACTAAAAGAAGATTTAAAAACATGGATCAGAAGCCTTATATTTTTCTTTTAATAAACTAAGTGATCTCTAACCTTTACCAAGTACCGTAAGAGCTACTATGTGCTATCCTAATGGAACACAGGGGAGTTGGGGGGATGGCAGTGGAAATCAAGCCACTGATTTATATAGCTGGATATCAGTACAGTCACTTAATAGTGAAGTATGAGCTTATTAAGTAAGCTTCTCTAGTAACTGCATGTGGCTGTAATACCATCTTTAGGCAAAGATAGTACAGATGTGATCTGCTGATCTCTAACAGTAATTGAAACCTTATGGAGAGTATAAGACAAAAAATATTAAGAAATATATATTTAAAGACCTTTTCTTAGTCTTTTTGTGACTTACAGGAATAACACAGTTGGTAAAGAGAAATGTAAAACAATTGAACAGGCAGTGAATGGGAATTAGAAAAAGGAACTGAATTTGTTCCATACACTATTTCTATCAGTTGTGATTTTGATCTCAGGAGAATAAATTATTTGCATAGATAACCACACCTTCAAGAGAAAGCTTCCAACAAGCAGAAGAGACATTCTACTATAAATTTAAAAGGATGATTCACAGACTACATTTGTCTGTTTCTGGCAGTGTATACTTGCTAGGCCAAGATCCAGTATAGTGAATTCAGCTTTCCTATGCCAACAGAATAGTAGGAGATTATAGTAAATCAAGTATAGTTTTACAGAAAGTGGAACAATTTCCTCAAGTCATACTACAGCAGTAGCTTTCTATAATGCAGGTGGTATCATTGATTTTGTCTATTTTCCCCACTATTATTGACAGCACTCGCATTAATTCCATCATAACAGCTTGAAACATTATTTTACTTTCTTGCTTTAAAATGTCTATAAACACTGCTTTAGTTTGAGTTCCACTTGATTTGATTGTTTGTGACTGTTTTCTGTGAAGGAAAAGATCTCTGTCGCTTCAGAAAACCTGATAAATGGTGGATGTGACAGGCTACGTACAAGTCAAGGCAACTGCTGGCATGGCTTCCCACCTCCTCCTCCTCCGTTCCCCTCCACTACCTAACACAGCACCTCAGTCAGCATTTAGTCTGTCTCCTGTAAGGATTACTACTTATCAACACCTTTTGAGTCTTTTCATTCAAACTTTCTTCTGCTCAAAGGACTTCAGAGGTATGACTTTGTTGGGATCACAGTAGAAGGTAGAGCTTTTTTTATTCCATAAATCTAAGCAATCCTTCCTCTTCAAACTGGACCACTAAAGATGTAGTAATGATTTGAGGCAAATTTTTAAAATACCAAAAGTGACAGGAATGGTCTTCCCACTACTGCTGAAGTCACCATGTTTGGACACACACCCATAATTTAAATCTTTGGTCAGTCTCTGGTTTTGCCTTCACTGACATCTCCTTCACTGACATCTCCTTCACTGACAGTTTTCCATCTTATGTATACGTGTTTTTATGATAGCAATTCCTTAATCAGCACTATCTCACATAATTGCCCCAATTGAAAGCAGCAGGTTTTATTTTGGCCATAATACAGTCCAGCAATTAAGTCTTTATGGCATTTTCCATTACTAACCTATTCTGTTCAAAGCTTTACAACTACTGAATGCAATTCATATGTAGCTTTATCATTAGCATAATTACAATTATTAATAATAACTTGACTTTTATATTGCACTTGACATTAGATGTTAAATTTCTTCCGAAAACATTCAGCTCCTTTATCCTCATTCTACTAATGAGGAAACTAAACCTGAGACACCAACAGACTCAGTGCCAGTCCAGGGTTCCAGCCACAACACTGGCCAGCAGCTCCCTAAAAACAGCTAAACCTTTTTCTGCTAACAAAAATATGAATTAAATTAGTGTATTTAATTATGAAAATGTGAAAAAAACAAATGGAACAGATTTATATTTAGTTGTAGGCAAACATGACTGGAAAATTGATTACATAACTTCAAAATGTATGGTCCTTCAACTTTTTTTTGGTCTTTTTTTTTTCCTCCCCCCCTTTAAATCCAGAGCCAGAGAATTCTATTAAAACTGGTCCAATGTGTTTAGTGTTGAAAATCCTTCTCTTCTTCATTCACATAGTAATCCAAAACACAAAATACTAAATTAAAAGTTCTGGTCTAAGTCACACACACTCATTCAATGATCTATTGAGAACTCTTTGAAAGCATTACTGCCTTAAATAGTGTAGAAATTCAGCTAGTGTAAATCACCTACAATGTGAAACCTCTAACTTCAACCTCTGTAACCAAGATTATTAAATATATGCATTTATATTATATGTATTTAGTATATGTGTGTATATACAGATATAAAAATGCCAAAAATCAAGGCTATTATTGTGACAGTACTTTGACTCATTTTTTTCCCCTATTTCTTTCTATAGGGCATTGGATCACCACATGGCAAAACTTCATCTTTAAAGCATAATTCTCCTTGCATTTCCACATAAAAGTCACCATGTCAAACGTGAAGTATAAGTTTTGCCTTTGCACTTTAACGTCGCTAACAAAAATCTCCACAAAACATTTCAGGTTTCAGATATACAGAAAAACAGTTCTAAAAGTTTCTGTCAAAATTAATAAAGCGAGCCTACTCTTAAGAAATTCATGCATCTTCTCTTTGAGGTTTCAATGTTGCCAAGTAGCTTTTCCAAGGAAATAAAAGTAATCCTGGATATTCTCATGCTTTAAAGTATTACCTTCTTACAGTATATGCTAACCTCTCCAGATGTAGAAATCCCACATTATATGTGAAACTATTTATTATGTATATCCAGGCCACAGCAAGGAACAAGTGGAAAGTGCCTTCTAGCAATACTCATATGTATAGTAATATACTTCCTAATCTAAATTCAATGGCTAAAGCCTTTAATCTACTTGCTTTACACTCCACCTGCTTATAAACTAAGACCAAATGTTGAAGAGAGCTACATTTTTGTACATAAATTTAAAGCCATTTCAGTGTAGCAATTAACAAAAATTTAGCAGATTTTTTTGTTGGAAGTGTGAAGTGAAGCTCAGCAGAGCAGTATTTCAAGTATTTTGCAATCAGAGCAATGTTTAACTTTGCTTACAAACAGTAAGCCCATCTGGAACAGTGACCTCATCTGAAAAGGGAAAGTGTCACTGCTCTTCTCTTCATCAAACTTTCCACTGAGATATTCCAAGGGGCTAGTTGTTTATAGCAGTAAGACATATGGTCTACCCGATTTCTTTACCACTGAGTCACTAACATGTATTTATTTTTTAGACACAGTTTGAATTTGCAATTAATCAATTTAATAATTTTCATGCCCTTCACAGTTTGGAAATACAATTCTAAATGTGGACTGTGAGCCCAAAGGGAGAGCACTTACACCATTTGACAGACCTCTGAAAGAAGAGGTGTCCCAGATACAAGTCTGCAACGCTCACTGAAAGACTGGGTGACTTTGCCTGCCATTTTGGGTTATGTTTTGCATCTCTCCATATAGCCACAACAGCATAAAGAAACTCTTATCAACTATCACCAAAACCAAATAAATATAGCCACAAAACAGATAAAGCACTAACGTTTAGTTTTGCATCTCAGGCTTAAGTATTGTTACCACAGTTACTACACCTGGAAGCTACTGAAATCAGATACAGGTGGGAAAGTTGTTCTTCTGCAACACTCAAAGTTCAAAATGTTCCTCCTCCCTCTGAGGCTGAAACCCAAAACTGCTCAAGTGTTCAGGAGAAGCAGCTCCAGAAAATCCAGGTCTTCAACAGAAATCACTTGACATCTGGGAGACACAGATTTAATCCCTGCTCTTCCTTCAGCCACAGTCAAGATACTTGCCCTACTCAAAGGACTGAATTTTTTCAATACTTTGTTTTTCAATACTAAATGGGAGGTCAGAGACAATGACTTAATATCCTCTTTCAAGAAACACACAGGAAACCCCAAATTCAGCCCAAAATTCAACAAGGAGGTCAATGAACTCTCCAACTGATTCTGATTTCCCTACTATTCTTCCTGAAACTTTTAAAAGCTTTCAATGTAAACTTTCATTAAAATGCACACATTGCCACTAAAAGCTGAGGTAAATCACATTTTAAAAAAAGTTCAGGAAAAATCCTAACTAGTTCTATCACTAATATTGTTGAGGGAAGGGTTGGGGGGGACAACAAAAAGAAACCCTGAAGTCTGTAAGTACTGGGGGAAAAAAGATTATGGAAAATAAGCTTTTTATAAATAAAACCTGAGAAGTGAATGAGATAAATTCCTGTATTTCCCCACTTTCTGTTCTAGCTTGACAGAGAATGTAACAGCTGGCTGAAATATCATCTTCAAACAAGGAAAACCACAAATGAGTTTTTTCTTAAAGAAAAAAAAGAACAAACTGTAAGAACTCTAATATATTCCTTGTAGACAAAGGAGGGAGGGGGAGGCATGGAAATGCTATTTTAGGGTTTCAAGTGATATACGTGCAGAGAAAATATTCAGACAACATGCAGCTAAACTTTCCTTCTCTTTATTCTACTTTATTTTCCTCCCTTTTTATTCTGTTTCAGCCCACAATAACAAAAGCTATGCACTCCTGTTTGCCAATATTGTGGAACTGTAACAAGTTTTTGCTGACTGCACAATTCTGAGTCCTTTCTAACACCTATCCAACTTTCAGAAGTGCAAGAGAGGGCTTTCCATGTCAAGAAGAAGCAAGAAAGTAAATTCTTCAATTATTCGTTATTATGTGAATGAGAAAAGTAGACATGTTTGCTGCATGACTATGGGTGAAATTAAAAAATGTTATTTTCTCACATTTACATTGACATAAGAGAGTCTCATTTACTGAGAACCTCACTGTGATTTATCATCACTTTTTACTGAGCTAAAAAAATGAGGCGGCGCGGGGGGGTAAGGAGAAAACTGACCTAACTGCATTATATTCTCAAAAGTATTCTGCTGAAAACAAAGCAGACCTTCAATGCTTAAGTTCTCTCTGTGTATTAATTGAAACCTGTTTTGCTGCTTCAGATAAATAGACTTCTGTGAAACGTGCAAGTGAGGAGACCAAATTAATTCTAAATCTACTGCAAATTAACAGAGAGATACTAAAATCAGCTACTTTGGAAAAAGAGAGAAAGTAAGTGTTTGAGTCAGATGGAACAAAGCTATCAGTCAATAATGCAGATAAAGGCAGGAGAAAATTAATCAGAAGACTGAATATATCAATCTCTGTAAATCAAATCATTAAACCGGTTTGAAGAATGACTCTTTTCAAGTTATTCCCATTGCAGTATTAGTGAGAAACAAATGAGGTTATTATGTTGGAAGCCAGCTGAAGGATTGCAAGCAAATAATTTTTTATAGTAACTGCCTTTGCCATGAGCATCCCATACTTCTGAGCTAGATTTTTTGAGGAGGAGTTGGTGATGTTCACAAGGGCAGCCAAGCAGACCAGGAGTGCAAAGGAAGCAGCAGATGAACTGAACCTGCTTCACTCAAATTGAAAGGAGCCATCAAATCATATCTACGTTGTTCACATGAAAGATCCTACCACTAACACTCATACTTTCTGGATGATTAAGTATTTTGGCATGGTCTCATTCCTCACACATTATACTTCACATTTTCTATATATACTATGTATCTCTTTAGGACAGAATCTTTGTTAAAAAGGCCTTTCAAAGCAGAAGCAACACGGGTCAAATTATATCCAGACAATGGATAACACATAAGAGCATAGTGTATTCAGTGGTACATATTACAAGTATGCTTATCTCCCTGCCTTGCCTAGCAGAATTTGAAATTATTTTGTGCAGATACACATTTAAATTACTAATTTTTATCCACAGAAAAAGCAAAGACCATATATCATATCAAAACCTCTGTCACATTATAAGTCAGTAGGTTCTATCAAAAGATGACAGGTTTAAAGATATCTTGGTGAGATTTAGTAACAGTATAGAAATTGATTACACTAAAGACTCTGCCTTATGGTGTCTATATAACAACAAGGAGGAAAAGGCAACTCCAGAAATTCCACCTCAGTTACACATAACATACAGTACTTCAAAAAGTTTACAAACATGGTACATGTGCTTTAAAGACTATTGGAAATAAAGAAAGAGCTATTTATAAACATGTGAATGGCTGCTTACACTAACACTGGACATCTGTAATGTTTCCTAGAAAGGCTACGGGAGAGACTTGGACCTTGACCAAATATCAGCTTCCCAGTGGCTTCAGCACAACAAAACCCCATTCAAACAGATTTCCAAGAACACCACGGAGACTCAGGACTAGACCTTCATTCTTTCAGCTGATGCCATGAACAGCCTATGCTATGCTCTTAACCTCTGAAAGAAAAGGGTCTTTTGAAATTAATTTCTCTGCTCTGAGACTCATGGAAGATTTGGGAAAAAAAGAGAGCAGAAGAATTATATGGGAATGAAGCCTGCTCAAGTGCCACAGCGAGGACTTGGTGGGATCCTGGTCTGTAAAACTCCATAATCTGACTGATGGACATAGCAGTAAAGTCACAAGCAACTCTGTGGTAGTAGCCAGTGCTGCTGCCACTAAAGAGACCCCTTGACAGGAAGGTCTGACATAGGATACATATTCCAAGGTTCAGATTTAGGCCTGGCAAGTGCCAGGTTTAAAACGTAAAGATTTGGATTCCCTAATAAGAATGAAAGAAAAAAAGAGAAAAAAAAAGAAAAAAGAAAAAAATGCAGCAAGACCAAAGGATAAGATAAAGTCAGTTGCCTTTCCAAGTCCTTTATATTTTTTTCCCCTGAAAGCAGAAACTTCTGCTAGAGCACTTCTAAAGGATATTCCTGTCTCTTTGAACCGTAGGAAGAAAAATAATTCTATCACCTGTATGCCCAAGTCAAGCTTTAACAATATTTCTACTTAAATGCAATGTCATTAAAAAAAAGGAAAAAAAAAAAGAAAAAAAAAGGCGGGGGGGGGAACGACACACGAGTAGGGCAACAAAACTGCAACTATTAAATGCATATCCAATCCAAGAGGTACTTCTATTCTGTGAAATCACTCTGTGATAAGTTAGCTTGAGAAGATTTTGGATAAAAAATAAAAACAAATACATTTTTAGAAGATATATTGCACTTAGAATTTCTATTTACATTTGCACCTGCTTCCACATTACTGCTACATATAATTTTCTGCCCAAACTTTTTATTAAAGTTTGTTGTATTGTACCATCTATTTTATTTCAATACCATTCTGTTTAAAAAAAATATTTAAACTTTACCGTTTATGCTCATCATGTTTTAATACAACCCATGTTTGAGATTACTATAATGTAAAAATAAGCTGACACCTCTTATTACTTTGTAGTCTACTATTGTGTATGCCTTCATTAGAAGACAAGATGACAGACTATCGAAGTAGTCCAAACCAGAGAGATGTTCTCATAATGACCAACAGCTTTTTGACAGAAACCACAAAATACTCAACAGTTCATATCTTATATCTAGATCTTGTTCTGCCACAAAAGCTCCCACTTTTGTATCTTAAGATGTAAAGTTGTTAGTGTTTAAGATGCAAAATAATATACATAAGATGAAAAAATGTTAGTTTATGCATCATTATAACAGATTTATAAATTAGAATTTACATTCCCATGTTCCGGGCTTCTGCTTGACTCAGATTTTCTTCAGGTCCAACAATTTTTATAGGTCTGATAACGTTCTTGGCTTTTTCCCAGAATTTCTTGATGTGCTTTTCATGGTAAACCTCCTGTAATCGTGTTAACATTGTTTATAGTGAATGAAAAGTACAAGTTGCTGTGAAATCATAAACATAGTGTCCAAGAACACATTGTATTCTATCCTAAACAAACAGATGGCAAACAGTATTTGAAGATATTCCAGTATATCTGTCATTACAATGAAGCTCTTCTGTCCAAAATTTTAGCAAAAGAATCCAACACATCAGCAATATAAATCAAAGCTGTACCTCCAGACCGATTACGCAAGATTCACAGGCTGCTTATGCAGTATTTTTTCAGGATATTTATTTTACGATCTTCAAAACCCATTCTACAACCTCAGTGGCACCCAGGAGTTTCTTCTATGCCACTCCAGAATGGCTTTAGAGAGGGAGCTGCCACCTGTACCCAGGTGGACAGTCACAGTCATCGCTTCTTTAAAACGTTGTAACAGTGATTGTTTTTTTAATTTTTAATTACCCTACCTCTAATTTAAGAGATCTCAGCTGCATGCAATGCTTCCAACCCAGTGCCCTCATTTGTAGCTTTTGCATATTGTGGCTGATATTAGAATAATTAAAATATTGGGTAGGGTTTCCCACTCCCTATCATAAAAAAAAGCTATTCAGTCTTTTATATTCATTTCAAATACCACATGATTTCTGGCTGAAGCAAAGAAATCTAGCATAGCCTACAATTCCTACGTGCATATCTTGCTTATACCTTTAACATCCCCTTAAAAAAAAGCACACTAAAGACTTTGAAGATAAGCTCTACTTCTATTACCCAGGCCTTTTGTGCTATGATATCAACAGTAATGCACACCAAGTGAAAAAGGGCAGAAATATATTTTCCTCCCATTTCTCTTCCAGCTCAGTTTTTTCCAAAAGACTTACACACATCTGTCACCTCACTCATGAAAACAGCAATACTGAAGTCATTGGTGAAGTATCAGCAACACCAGATCATTAGGTAATTAGCACAAAGCATAAAAAAAAAATTCAAAAAAAGCAACTTATCTGTAACGCCATTCAAAATATACCTGGACATACCAGCCTTCCCCATGGGACCCAGTGGGTATCAACAAGATGGAAAGCAAATCCAATGTCAACTGTTGGATAATAGTTATTAATAACGTGCCATAACTTTTGGTCAGTCCTGAAGTGGTCAGGCAGTTGGCCTAGACGATCTTTGTAGGGCCCTTGCAACTGGAACTATTCTATTCTTACTCTATTGTTTTATGTCAATCAGTACTTCCCCCTGAAGCATAAACTTTAAAATACAATCTTTTTCATTAGTAAAAGAGAAAGAATCTAAGCAGTTTCTTTAAATAGACTTCAGTAAGCACTGCCACAATTTCATTTAATTTATGTATTTTTCCACTTCAGCATTCTAAATGCTGAAAGATTATCTCTTCCTATGCAGTTTAACTATGTACATGCATAGAATCCATATACTGCCTCACACACTTTCATTCATACCATAACTTCCAAAATTGAAGCTTTGCACAATAGTAACATCATACTTACATTATTATGAATGAAGATACTGAGTGCCTCCTTTGGGTAGTCCAGAGTCAACAGTCTGTCTAAAAATTTAGGTAGGAAAGGAGTGGGTTGTTCAATGAAAACACCAATTTTTACTCTTGGATATTCCTAAAAAAAATGATATTTTGACAGAACCAATAAGACTTGCCTCCTTTCTGAGATTAGTTATATTAAAAAGCAACTAATGTCATGTTGTTGTAACTTAGGCCACACAGCTGTCAAACAATCAAAACCAACTAGCTCAAGCATGTTATGCCCCCTGTTTGTTTTCACTGACTTCACTAAATAAGCAAAGATAATGGATTTAACATTGCTAGAAAATTCTATGAATCCCAATAACAGAAACTGGAAGTAGAAAATAATGTATTATGGCTTTTAAAATTCTTACTTTAAAAAAAGTATTAAAATGGCAAAAAAAGTATTTAAGGAAATACACCTAGAACTGCATGGCAAATGCATTTTTTGTAAAGTAACATACATAGATAGGTTACACTTACAAGAAAATAAAGGGAAGAGCAGTTTTCTTAAAGTAGTTAAAGAATAAATACCACAAAATATTTTACTCATCTGTACTTTAAGCCAAAGACTGAAATACCCTTCCATACACTTACATGCACTATTTCCCCCTGACCATTAGAAGTGGGCTCTGCATTACTTCCCTACTCACTGCTTTTATCAAGACCTTTGATGAACTAACTAGAACTTCTCCCCTTGCATCCAATGATACTGAAGTTTTATCCACCTTATTTTAATGTGAATTCACATCTTTCGAACAGTCGTATTAATTCCTGGTTTGTATGTGCTTGATACAGGGATCATGACCACTAAAACAAACCTAGACAGCACTTTTGGTATTCCTAAAATATATTATTTCATTATGTGAGACAAAGAAATTTAACCTTCAAAGGCCTTGACTCCGCCACAAAGAAATGCACTATTAAACAAAAATTTCGTCCACCTTTAAAACAGACAATTAGCATAAATGCCTAACCCACTACAAGGCTGAGAGAGAAACCTAATATGAGTATAAAAGGCTGCAAGTTAGCTTCCCATAAGCAAGCCAACACCCACTTGAAAAGTGTCTGGATAAGCCATCAGCACATGTTGAGATTTTACAGTGCCACTGTCTACATCAGAAATCCAGAAACACACTGGCCAGTGCACTAAATCAGAAACATTAGGCACCAATGTTTACCCTGACTACCTCCTATTCACAACTTCATCTGCAAACCTAATACATACTCATGCAGACATCCTAGTAACTTCAAAACAGCTGATGAAGACAAGTACACTGACGTGTCTTGAAAAAAGCAACTGTGATATTCTCGGACAACCACTCCATTGAGGCTGGTGGCACGGTAACTGGTACCGTTGATTGCGAGCAATGAGGAACGCAGCATGGGCCATCAGGCTTAAGGTGAACATGCACATGTGCTACCAATACTAGAACTGCTGCAACAATTATTCTGCCTACTTCTCTAATTCTAAGCCATTTCCCCCTCATTCTCCAGGACAACGAGAAGCAGGTTCAGGCTGGATCTGCAAAGGTTATAGGGACAATCAGGAATTACTAACACTCCTTCAGTACACTGAAGTGCAAGCTGCTTGGCTCTACACTAAAATCTCAGGCACATGACCAAAGCAAAATAGTGTTTAAAAAATTGAGTGTAAAAATTCCTGCAAACTGCATCTCCCACTGCATCTCCTCAAAGCAGAGAGTTCATCAATTTAGACCCTGGTTCACCATACTATAAAGAGTTGTCACTGCATAATCTGAATCTAGGTCACAATGAACAATTTTAATAACCAGCATTTTGAGTATATCAAGTCAGAAGTTTTCATTCTTCCCAGCTGTGTCTCAGCAAAAACACTTTGGAAATACCCAGTCTGCACTGGGATGTTACATTTTCTCTGACAAATTTTCTCATTTTCACTAAGGTCATACATTTGCCTTTTAAGGTTCACTTTTTCACAAGCAGTAGTTGAGCATGTGACAATTTTTGGAAGAAATACAGGACAATTGCTCTGAAGTCATACTGAGACAAGTCCAGGAACCCTTGCCACAAGAGTCACCAGTGAAGTGAGAGAATCAGCAAGGTCACCCTTTCCACCCACACCAGGAAGTCTCCACACCAGTAACAAGCTTTAGGACTTACGAACTAGCTCTAAGGAGATTCAGTTTGTTGTCCAATTTAATTTAGGTTTTAGAAAAAACCCTTAAGAAAAGCGGCAAAAATTTACACTTACAGAGTCAAGGCGTGTTCTTCAACTTATTTTCCACTACCCTGCTTTGACCTGGGCAGGTAGCTAGTTTGGGGGTGGCACAGGCTGCTGACATTAGCAGAAGAAAGCAGTTACTGAGTGTTTCCACACCTCAGCTGTGATCAGAGCACAGGAGGCCCTGCCCCTGTGAAGAGGACAAGGACTGAGCAAAAGACTGCATATGTGGCTCCCAGCTCCTTCACAGGTAAGCCCGAAGCTCAGCTTTTCCCAGGCCATGCTCCCAGCACCTACTCGCGCTGACCCTGGTAGTGCCTTGGGCTCTTCTCCTCTTCCATCACAGACCAACCTACACAACCCATGGCAATGCTCCCACCCATCTCTGCCTTGCACTCACCTACCCCTGACCTTCACAGAAGGAAGGATCACCCTATGCCCATGATGGGCATTTCAGCTGTTTGTTCTACAGTGGAGCTTATCTGTTTTGTACTGCTAATGTCAAGGTCTGTAGGTAAGCCCAGCCCAAAACTTTAAATCCGCAACACCTAAGCTCATCGAGTCAAGGACCCATGCATGCTAGAAATCATCTAAAGAAAGTCAAAGCCCAAAGCATAGCTGGTATCAACAAATCTGATTGTCTGCTTGCTTATGAGAACAAGCAAAATCCTCAGAAGATATGTATCAATGCAGAAAGTTAAATAAAACAATATGGGAAGAATGATTAGAGGCACAGAGCCAGTACTGCTCTTTTCACTGATGATTTTTTGTTAAGTAGCAACCAGCCAGGCCTGAACAGAAAGCACGTTCAGAAAATGAAATATTGCTTGTAGTTAAAAATGACTGAAGTAAACACTTCCACTGAGGCCAAGGAAAAGTCTTGCTATTTCTGCTGGCAGAGTGAGTGAGGTATGAAGTCCAAAGAACAAATTAGAGTGAGGAAGACACGTTCCAAGTAGATGTACATCAACTATAGGAAGCTATCCAGTAAATCATTGCAAGTTACTCCCCACTACTGGCTTTAAGATTTAAATGCTCCCCAACCATGTTTTAATTACCAACACCATTAGGAAAAACTCAGACAACTTCTTTTCCTCAGGTAAACTTTACAACACCATTCCAATGTTGTATCTTCAAAGCAAAATTAAGATTTAAAAAAGATATAAAAAGAATCTGAAAGTTATCACAATTCCAGCAACAACATTTTTAATTTATTTTTTTTTTATTTAATTTATTCCAGTCTGTAAGCTACTTCTTGTTGAGAAATTCTTTCACTTTGTCCTTTCATTACAAAGATAACAAGCCACTACTACTTTCATGCTATCCTCAACATGACCTTCTAAGACCTGTTCTCTTTCAAATCTTCAATACAGAACAGAAATTAAACAGCTGCTGGAAACAGTCTGCTAAGAATAATCAGAAAGTTCTTTTAAGTACAAGCTTTACATTTCTACACAGTAGATCTCAGTTATTTACTCTGCCTAAAATTTACTGAGTACAAGCTGAAATATTCATAGACACTAAAGACGTCATACTTGGAGCCAAAGCACCAAAATAAGTTCCCAAATATTGGATATACACACACACCCCCCATGTGTACGTGCATGTCTGTCCTATAAGAATTCTGAAAACTTCTGGAACTGATATCCGATCTCAATTATATCAGATTTATTCTACAGAAACACATTTGCATATACAATACAGATATCTGTATCATCCTTTACAAGGTAAAGCAGTTTTGACTATTTCGCTATATCTCTTAGAAAATAGTAACTGTAACCATGTTACAGTTAACTGTTAACCTCTATTTGTGACAGAAATTGTTAAACTGATGCATATCAAGTTTTTTGTAGGTCTGCTGTTAAAAACTTAAATATCTAAAGAGCTTTACTATCTCGCCAAAAATTCTGATTATTCACTTGAATCTTGCATGATTCAAAAATGATTCATTCACCCTCAGTGAACAGAGGTAAGGATGTGGAGGACTTTTGGGTATGGGATCATCTTCAGTAATATTGGGGAAACCTATATCAAAATGCATGCATGAAAACATTTCTAAAAAGTATTGATAATTTCAGTAAATTAAAATTCCATCTTTACAGTTTCATATACCAGAAAAAATGTCCTGAGGTGTCTACAAAACGTAATATTGCATACTGAAGTCACTTTGCCTCAGAACTACTATACACCTATCAACTGCATTCAAAAGGGTTTTGTTCTAGTGAAAGGTATTCTTACCGTTACTGTTGACAGGTCTAGTAAGTCTAAATCGCAAATACTGCAACCAGTTTCCTGTGTCCAAGCATTAGGAATATAGTTTCCCAAATAATTCAACTGAATCTGGTAAATAAATGAACAATTCAGATTAATGAGAGGTGCATGCTAAATAATTCAGGCTTACTGATTAACTCTCTTATACCTAAAAGGCAATTGACTGTCTTTTTTTTTTAAATTTAAGATTTGAAAAACAAACAACCCCAACCCCCCAACAGTTCAAAAATAGCTGGTAAGATCTTTTTCTTCTTCTTTTTATTTACAAAACAGAGATTATATTCTCCTAGCACCTACATTTATTGCTTCAGTTAAACCAAAAATTTGTTGCAAGTATAACAGCTACCAACTAAATGCTTGTATGACTTCAAGACACAGACTATATAGATCATTCAGTTCTCAAAAGCTTCTAGGTGCGATTTCAAGCAAAAAAAAAATTATTATAGTTTAATTCTTTTCACAAATCTGAGAATCATCAACACTACATAAAACACAAAGAGTGACCATACAAAAAACACATAGTGAATGTAGACGATAGATGCCCAGATGATGTATTTTTGAGAAGCTACACCAAGATTCAGAAGCCAGCCAGGGGGATACATTTTAAAGCAGCATCTAGCTTCTTAACGCATTTTGAATTGGCACTGAACAAAATATGTACTTTTTCTGTCAATGGGCTGCCTGGGCTGCCCTGCCTTCCTGGATTCCACAGGAAGTTTGTGCAGAACGTCACTCTTCTCCACTGCCATTTGCAATGGTTAAGGGATCACTTATGCCAGGGAAAGTCTGCCTGAGGGAAGGATGCTATTCATTCCTGCTCTACTGCCCTCATAAAAAAACTGAACGGACAGAATATTATTTTGCATAGAAAACACACTGCAGTCCAATACTCAGTCTGCATTTTATCATACTTTGGGTGTTTGTTTATGTATATTGAAAATCATCCTAGATTACAAATAAAATTGCTTGAACTTCATCTCAGAGATGTACAATAAAGTCTGCAAAAATAAGTATTTCACAAAAAAACCCACTGCACTTGAGGGGAAAAAAAAAAAAAAAACCCAACATTACATGTCAGGATAATTTGGTATCCATTTCAAAGAAGTGTCTCTGATGTTATTTATTATCTTCAAACTGAAGAGATTAAATACAAAACAGAAGGTTCTTACAAACGAGAAACTTTTAGTATTTGGAGTTAATTCTGCAAATTACTTTCATGTTAGTTTATTTACTAACTAGTGAAAAATTTTTCCAATCTTATTATACTGTTGTCGTCGTAAACAATAAATTCTACTCCATGTTTAAAACAGAAGAATCTAATCACATTGACAAAATGATACATAGCAAGAGCTTCCTCTTTGTTTTTAAAACTACATCACTACATGCAGAGATTGAGTTTTGTTTAATGTAGCATAACTCGTGGATTAGTATAAGGAGTTCCCACCTAAACTCCTTGCCCAATCGTATAATACAGTACCTTTCTTTTCATTGGCAAAGCATCAGCAAAGCCAGTGATGATAGATAACTTGAGGATTTAACTGAGGCAAAAATAACTGTAGCAACATGGAAGAAATTGGTCATATATTTCACCACTACTGAGTAGTTATAAGCCAAACAGATAATGGCATCATTATATTCACTAATTCCAAAGATGAAATACAGTGCAAAAACTAAGAAGCAGCAGTCATTAGGATATTAATGAGTTTCAAACTTTATTTCATTCTCCTGGGAGGCATTTTTCTGGAAAATAAGGAGCTACAGCAAGGAACACGTATTCAGAAGAACTTAGAAAGTAGCCATGCCCAATCCTTCAGCCAACAGAGGCTGTTAGAAATGATACACCTTTACACTTCTTTGCTGTATAACAAAAAAATGCAACTACCATATGACCAAAACGTAGCTATTTCTCTCAGAGAAACTGTGCCAGGTCCTCTGGACCACTGAATCCACACACACGGACAGAATCTGCCAAAACAGCTACTTCACAGGGCAGACAGTGCTCTACCATGAACCCAAAGTTCCTGAGCCACAGGTACATTGCAGGCAGTGATCAATGACACTGAAGATGCAACAACAAAAGCCAGCCATGCACGCGTGTGTATATATATATACACACACATATGCACACTTACGGACATACATACACATATTTTTGTCTATATACATTACTTTTTTTTATATATGTGTATACAAACACACACCACAGTCTGCAGTAGGATCAGATGTGTTACTGTTTTGTACCCCAGTCTGTGACTCTTGGTTTGATTTTTCTCCCCCTGAAAACCTATTCTTCTGATTACCGTTTAATAACCAGATAGACGTTCTTTGCTAGCTTTGAGAACTGTTTTGTGATAGCGAACAAATTAACGTAAGCTTAACTGCTTCTAATATCCCGTGCTACAATGAATTAGGAAGCAGATGAGTTGTTTCAGCAGCAATATCAAGTTACAGTGACAGCAGAATAACATGATGGAGCAAGCTATTAGAATTTTTTTTTTTTTTAATCCTTGCAATTCTTTATTAACTTTAATTGGAAATGAGCAGTGGTAGTGTGCTATGACTGTTTCAGACTCTTCCACCATTGTTTTTGCCTCAGTTGAAAATGCTGTCTTTGCACAATAATAAAAACACTCACTTTAGTTGGACCATTTCCATGAACGGTGATTGGTAGTGTATCGTACACTGAATTCCTTGCTCTTACTTTTCCGTCTTCAAATTTCAAAAGGACTTCATCTGCAAATCAACAAAGATCATACAGTAATAACACTTTATAAATAAGAGCCAAAATTCTTTAAGTTCTTGCTGATACAATATACCTTCCTGTTGCTATCACTGTCAATGTTACTTATTTGGAAGCTTTTGTTCATTTTTTTTAACCAGACCTTGAATTCTAAGCTCTTTATGCTAAATAAGGTTACATCAAGCTCCAGAGTTTGCCATCAGCAGCCTTCAGTATCTGAATAAAATCCACTTTAAAAATAAAACTAATTTTGTGCAAATGGTATTTGTAGAGAAATCATAGTTACTTCAGATATGATTTGACTATAAAAAGTTGTTCTGTAATTGGAGGTTAAATGTAAGAAAGTAAGTTTGCACAGATGCCATTTTTCAATTTAAATTCATGACAGTTGGATAAAGGAAATTCTACATTATTCCACACTCCATTTCATTATGTATAGCCATTTGCTTAAGAATATCTAAAATGCAATTTTAATTACTGATCTTACTCCTGTCATTAAGTTTGTGAAAGGCAGATGGAAAAATGGTTCTTAACTTTGTGTTTATTGCTAACTTCATTTATTGAAAACTATTTTCTCTGTTTTAAATCAAATAATTTATCACTGGGAGAAATCAATTAATATTAAATCCAAAAGACCTGTAACTAATTTGGTAATCAGGTTTACCCATCCAAATATTTCTTTAAAACAAGCTTATGTTTAGGGAACGATATTCAGCGTTAAGCAAAGAAAGTGTTAATAACAGTTAATAAAACACACAACATGCAGATCATACACTTACCAACAGCTCCATTTAGGGTCTGAAAAATTGTACATTTGTGGTCCAAAGTAATGTTAATGCGTTCCTGAAATAAAAGTACCAGAGATGTTGAGGCATTCTAAGAGCCAATGTTTTTATGGAAATGTTGCAGTTATACTGCAGTGGCAGCAAGTAATCAGGCAAAACTACTCTACATGTTCAGTGCTCCAATGTAATTCTTAATTTTATATTGTTAAGTTTTTCTAAATTCCTGAGTTGTACAGCTGCATAGCAATCAGTTTTACATATGCAAAAACTTTACCTAAACTTGAAGGTTAAAGGTCATAACTCCCCAAAGAAACTACAATTTGGTAGTATAAGCCAAAAAAAATTTGTCTTGTGTTAAAAAAATTTAAGTAGTCTTGGCCAAGCAACAAAATATACTGCGTTTCACAGTCTCAAAAATATGAAAGCCAAATTTAAGTATCATGTCAGAAAAGAAAACACCACTAGTTTTAAAACATGTTCCTAATATTGTAGTATTAAAGAATCTAGGTAGGATTAAAGTACCTTGTTTTGAAGTTTTAACATGTTGATCAAAGTATGTAACCTTTAAAACACACTTAAAAACCCTTATACAGATAACATACTCTGTTTTGGTGTTCCAAGATTTTGTTACGTGTTTTACAGCATTGGACATTGCCATGCAGAGAATTAGTGCTAATGTATAGTACAGTATCCCAAGCTAAGTGCCATGAAGGCATTTTGAATCACAGTGCAGTAGTGCACTGTGCAGAAGTACACATTTTTTTGTCTAGAGGACAACCTGTTTAGACAGCTAATTATATTACTTCTGACTTTGCTGCAGAGTCAGCTGTAATGTCTCTACACCCTGTCCTTTCAATTGCATATCTAGCATCTGACTTAACTTGCATAAAATCAATTTAAACGTTAAGGGCTGGAAGGAATGTCCTATGAGGAGCGGCTAAGGTCTTTCAGCTTGTCTAGTCTGGAGAAAAGGAGGCTGAGGGGAGACCTCATTGCTCTCTACAGCTTCCTGAGGAGGGGAACTGGAGAGGGAGGTGCTGATCTCTTCTTGGTATCCAGTGCCAGGACACGTGGGAATGGTTCAAAGCTGCGCCAGGGGAGGTTTAGACTGGACATTAGGAAGCATTTCTTTACTGAGAGGGCGGTCAAACACTGGAACAGGCTTCCTAGAGAGGTGGTCGATGCCCCAAGTCTGTCAAGTGTTTAAGAGGCATTTGGACAACGCCCTTAATAACATGCTTTAACTTTTGGTCAGCCCTGTATTGGTCAGGCAGTTGGACTACATGATCATTGTAGGTCCCTTCCAACTGAAATATTCGATTCTATTATACTCTATTTCTGTACCTGTATCTAAACATGCCTGATGTTTCAGGCATAACTTAATGGAAGAACATACATGTATTTCAGAAACTTCACATCTGCCTTAAGAATACAAATGCTCAAAATCAACCTCAAAATTCTGCAATATCAGTTTCTAAAAGTCTTTTTCCATCAATACATTGTTAACTTCCCTTAGCCCTCTTTTTCCAGCATCAGGGCCATGCCTCTGACATCTATCATGCTTTAATGCTGCTACTCAGCAAAGAACTTTGTTAAGCTAGGGCATGGAGAGGTCTTCACCCAAAATTTATGATGCAGCTTTATTGAACGTATCTGCACAAAACGCTGAAGAGTCAGAGGCAGCTGCAGGCAGGATCTGAAACGGCAGCAAGCCAAAATATAAAACACTGGATCAGCAAGTAGTTCAGTGACACCCTGGAAAAATGCCACATTCTTGAGCGTCAAACTGCCAAGTACACGGGACCCTCATTGAGATGAATGTGTCCGATCATATACCTCAGAGGTATTATTTCTAACAACGAAGCACAACCTGTCTGGATCTGCAGACAGCCTGAAATAATATATCAAGTCATGACCCTTTGGAAGCCTGTTCATCACTCCAACAGTAGGAACCTCTGCAGAACAAACACAAGTGTCAACATGGCACTCAGGAATAAAGAGACAGCATTCCTTTTATTTTTATCTCCTGATGTTTTATGAGGAGCAGCATGTTGTTTCAAGCAGAAAGAAATGAGAAAGCCAGTCACTACCTACCCTTGCCAATGGGTCAACATAGATTTTGGTGTAAAACAGCTGGTCATCATCATTATCCTGCAGATCCCATTCCTGCACAATACGATTTATATATGGAGCATAACCAATAAATCCTGCAATATTACATACACATAAGTTATTTCCATAAAAAGCACTACTCTGCCAATGCTGTCCACCAGTCAGGGACTTCATTCTGACTGTTTGGTGCCAGCAAAGGAAAAGTATGAAATTCCTACAACTTGGCTCAAAATCCAGTTTTCTTCCTGTGATATGTACCAGTTCTGTTCTAAAGAGTTCATAATTAAGGGCTATTTTATACTAATGCTATTTTAAGGGAAAAAATAAGAAACAGAGATCTGTTTAATATGGTCCTGAGAACTCCAAAGCATGAGATTAGACTACTACTGTTCCCAAGAAGCCCATCTGTGGAAAAAGTTTCATTTTCATTAATCGCTTCTTGCTGGCAGAAAAGCCTGAATCTCATACTGCCAGAACTACAAAAAGAATTCAACTCAAAACCAATATATGTTATGTTTAAGCCAGAACAAAAAAAAAGATAGGGCAGATAGGTGAGGTAAAGAAGAGAGGGAAAGGAACGAGGACACTCCCAGATCTGCACGCTGCCCAGCACCATGTACCTAGGAGAAGTGACATACTGTGGTCTGTAGCAGTTAAACACTATCAGTGTCAGTGCATGTATTAATCAACTGCAAAATTATTACCAAAGCTGGTGTTTAAAGGCGGATTCCAGAATTAACATGTCATTGAGATTAACAGGAGTAACTCACACTCTTCTTGCAATGAACAGCCTAAGCCACACTGACCGGGTCAGGCAGAGTTACCAGCACATCTACACTGTCAGTCAGGAAATTCTGTGACCCAGCTAAACTGTGCCTATAAACAGCATGTACTGCTTTGACTGGGCTTGTACACTAGATTGTTTCTGAAGTAGATTCAATCAGTGGCACTTGGGTCATCCCTGTACAGTGTTTCATTGCAAGGCACAGTTGCTTGCTAAGCTGCTACTTTATTTACCTGCTTTTTACAAGTTACTGCCAACAAATAATATGTAAGTTTGAATGAAAACTATTCTTGAGCACAGAACAGGAGCTATTCACGTGGGGAGGGAGAGAGGAAGAAGAAGACAGCAAATCCAGTCCTCCATTTTATATTTGGGGAATTCAGAACAGTTTCACATACAAATACATGAAACAGTTAACAGAAGTGAGTCATATTCAAGTTTAGGAGTAAAATATGTTCAAGAATCACACTTGCCTCCTGAGTTCAGGAATCGTTTTCCACTCTTGACAACAGGATACTTGTCAGCTAGCCTTTTATCTGGCCAAATTAGTCCATCTGCTGCAAACACCACTTTATGATTAGTTTCCTGAAACTTCTTTAGCAGTTCGTCAGGGCCCCCCGCAAAGATAACATCATAGCTGAAAATAAAGAAAAGATATCCATTAGATTAATTTTAATGCTTTTGTGTTGAAAACAACAAGTGGTTGGACTATTCAAATTTTAAAAATCATACAGACAACCCTTTTATTCTGAAAAAATGATTTATTAAATTGTGTTTTACCACCATGTAAAAATCCTACACCCTTTCAGAAGAAAAACTTCAATCAATACTATTTATCCAATACAGATTCCCCTTCTATTTACATTAATTTTTTTTAGCCTTCCACATTTTGGACATTCTTTTTCCTTCAGAATTTGTCTACTTGAAATTGATTTTCACATTTCATGTATTTTGAGTAAAAAATATATTTTTCACTTTAGAAAACTGTTTATGTGTTTAAGAGCAGCAACAACAAAAACTTCCAAACTTAGTAGATGAAATAGTGTAGGACTGAAGGATGATTTAGGTGACTTTCACTGCAAAACTTTAGATGTTCTTGTTCCAAAACACAACAGCACTGACTTTCTTCTGAAAAGTCTTATCAAGAATATACTTAGATATTTCTCAGTAGAGTGTAGTTGCCCATGAACTTAAACTGTGTTGCATCCTGACAATATATAGATTTCTCCTTCAACCTCTTTAATGTGCTGAAGACTTCAGAAGGCTCTAAACTTCACAGTAACTATTTATGAAAACTTTACCTGTCTTTATGTGTTCATCAGATTTGACTCCCAACTCCTACTGAGAACAAAGACCTAAAGCTGGAGGGTTCATCTCTAAAAACAGCGGTTACCCACAGCCAAAGGTCAACAGTACCCCAAAACAGAAAGAAACATGCATGTGTTTGGCAAAGGTCATGTAAGAATGTAGTATCACAAGCCTATTGGTTTCTTGTTGTTGAACCATATCAAAATCAATGCCTCTGAAAAAACCCCAAACAACCCAAAACCTCAAAATATGTATAAATGAATAAATTATTCACAGTATAGGGTTCCTTTGTTAGTATTGAGATCTACATATAAATGTGCAAACCACTTCAAGGTTCATTTTACACTGCATGAAACCATAACACAGTAATATTGGAACCATGTCATAGATTAGTCTCTGGTTGAAGAAGCAGAATATTTGGATTTAATGGCAGCATCTCAGCCTTACAGCTTCCTCATATGAATGCAAGTATATTCTTATTCCACACATCTACCTTAGTAACTGAAAATCATCAGCCCTGATATAGGGCAAAGGAATGGTACAGCAAGATTTTGTTCCTGCAAAGTCTTTTAGCCGGGCTAAGAAGGACAGCAGTACTCCCACCTGCAGTACAGAGAAATTTTTGCATTGCAATGTATTACCCTGCAATAGTGCCAACAGATCAACCATTACTGACTTCTAGTACTTCTTTATTACAGCTCTGAAATTATTTAAAATGTCTTTTCTTCAAAGGGGATTTCATGCAATTGGCCTAAGAGAACTGAACAACAGCTGGCTTACAAATGCAAAAGAGAAGATTTCTACCACAGAGCAAAGTATGAACCCTGGAGAGGAAGTGTGTTATGTAGTCTATATAAAGTAAGCGGGTTTCTGAAAACTCTCTCTGTTTTGTTTTTCTGTAACTTTGGCAGAAGAATGTATGAAAAAAACATTGTACATTTTGGAGTTGCCCCAGTTTTGCAAAAACTGCCTGTTTCTGCCCAAATATACAGGAATACATTTCCCTCCCTTTTCCATTCAATTGGTGTAACCCGATTCAAAGCCAGAATGAGCTTGAAGAACAAGTAAGAAACAGGAGACAAGTTGAAGACAGACAAAAACAGAGATTTGTCTGGGGCTTTAACTTAATAGCTTATGGCAGGCTGTGCTTCTCCTCTTTGATCAGGTTAGTGCTGCTGCTGCAATGACTTACAGCTGTGGGAAGGAACCAAACACCCCTGGAACATTGCTTCCAAGGACTGTCATTCTGTAAAAGAAAGCCAAAGTTGAGCAACATGCTGGGCTAACCAGTGGCTCTGCTTGCAAAAGGGATATGCTACTTAATACAGCACAGTTTATTACACATAGCAGAGCGCAGAGCTGCTAAACTGTATTACCCATTATTGTAAACTTTACACGCTAATGGATATTATGCAGGAGTATGAATCCAGCATGGACCTACATTTTCCACTAATTTTCATGGCCCGCGGTTTTGTCAAGAGGTGACTTATGGCCACCACACCTCCCACTGTGCAGGACCTTCACCAGCCTTCTATCCCTTGATGCCAGTCTTCCCATCAGCTGCTTTATGAGGCTCCTGCTTTTCTCTCCAGGCAACAGGAAAACTTCTAAAGTCAAACTAAAACCTATAAATCCATCATTTGCCTTGCTTACCTGCCATGTCAGATTATGTTCAGTCTATCCGGCACTCAACTCCTACTGTAAGGGAGGATTCACCACTAAGACCATCACAAAATGGGTCCCAGGACTATCCTTGACAGTTTCTACTGTAATTATGGGTGATGCACATAACTTACTTTAAGCAGGGCTTCAAAATTTGACAGGGAAGAAAAAGTGTGGATATATCCAGGAAAAAGCAGGCTGCCTTGGCAAGCTGGAAAAGCTCAGATAGTCTTTTATTTACTCTTCATAAATCCTTCCGATTAAGTAGAAAGCAAGAAGGAAAAAAAAAAAAGAAAAAAAAAAAAAAAGAAAAAAAAAGAAAAAACAAAACAAAACCCACACCAGAAATTTTCCACAACTCCAATCCCATTTCCTGAAGCTCCCAGATGGCAGATGCTTGGGGCTGGAATCCACCCATCCCTCCTCCTCTTCTGCAGCAGCAAAGCATCCTGTCTACGCAACCAGCGCTCCCAGCAACACAGGGAAACGGCAATGGTGGCTTAGGTCCTCTAGAACAGAATGTGCAATTTTTGTATCCACAACTTTTATAACAACAAGGACTTTTTACTATTGGAGCTGCAGGTTAAGAGCTCCAAATACGCATCTCATCTTAATCAACTGGACTGTTCAGCCACACAGCCATTTTGTCACTTACACTGTATCACACCTTAACTATTTTGAGGTATGTAGAAAATGTAATTACCCCTTACTTTCTTACAAATGTTTAAAAAAACCCCAAAACCTGAGAGGCTTCAAAAGTCTTCCACAATACAAATAAATGGCTGTGGGAGTTCTGGATGAATAGTCACAGCATCAACCATTTTATCCAGTCTACACTGGCTACTAGCCAATTCAATCTAAAATGGTCCAAAGTAAACCAGTAGTTAGCTCTTGCAAAAACAAGCCTAATTTAAATAGCGTTCCATCTGCAGGCAAAGCATTTTGCTATCTGCACCTAGACACAAACTGTCCACAGAAGTTCAAACTATTTCAAGAATTGTGAGCCGTATAAAAACTGCTCAAAAAAAAGGCAAGAAGCTAAGTTTGTTAAGTAAACAGTTCACTAGAAATGATTTGCCTAGTTACAGTAAGTAAACCAGACTTTTCCTTTCCCCACCCCCAAGATTAATATTGCAAATGCTTCATAATGAATATAATGAAAAGCACTTGAAAAAGAAAGGAAGTTCACTATATTTGTCTTTTCCAAACTTACTGCTACATTGATAAACATTTAAATTGCAAACCAGGATTTCCTGGAAATGAAAAAGCTCATTAGAATTAAAATATAATGCTAGAATCAGTAAACTATTTTCTTTCTCCTATCTGGAATCAGTTCCACCAGCTTTAAATCAATATGTAACTGGAATTATGGATCTCAAGAACTTGGGAGGCCTTAAATCCTGGGATTTTTCATAGCAAGAAAGATTATGGCATCTGCACTTCAACACACAGTCCTCTGTATACTCTCATCCATGCCAGCAGACAGCCTGCCCCTTGAGAGAATAAATTACGTTGGAGAAGAATTTGAGCTATACCCAAATCTGATAACAAATTTGCATATTTTACCATATAGGGAGAAAATAGTGATGAATCAGTATAATAAATTTGCAAACAAAGAAATTCAGTGTTAAGTAGCAAACATTTGGGAAACATTTGATTCACCTGAGTGTTTAGTAAAGAACAAAATAATCTCCCAAATTAATCTTAAAAACTTTCAGTTATTGCATGATCAGTAGGACAACACTATGAACAAACATGTAATATATTTACTTTTAGAAACATAGTTTTTCCACTTACCAAATGCAAAACTGACCAAGTCAGTAAGAAAAAAATTCAAAAACTGAACGTGTACCTCCAAACTCTACATTACTTCTACTGTCAATTAAGTGTACAAAGAAGATATTTGGCATAAGTTTCCCTTATAAAGCTTGTTCATAAATTGGTTAAGGAGATTCAGACGTTGGCTTTCTAGCTCTATCTTCTACTTATCACAAGAGGTAAAATTAAAACAGAAAACTGAGCAGCATCTTTACATTTTCTACCAGTTTAATAGTCTACTCCAACTTTCCTAAACTCTTAGACAAAACAACAAATGAACTTTCCAGTAAACACCACTGTCAGACCACTTTCTCTCTCATGATGATGTCTGCTATACAAATCCTGTTGAAGCTCTACCTTACAAAAGGATCCCTAAAATTCTTCAGCTGTCAAATTTTTAAAAATAAATAAAAAATAAAAGCCGGTTAAAAGCTGAAATAAAATTCTGGAGCAGACATTCCAACATGACTCAGTAACAGCAGCATGAACCCATGCACAAACCTCTCCAAGCCTGCACTCAGCTACCTCCCCAAGGCTGCCTGTCTGCAACTGGGGCTTCATATCCCCGATTCAAGACTTGGTCCCGTACCATCCTCACAGCGATTCTTTTAGAGCTGTGCCCCCACTCTGGTTCATGCTAGCATGAAAGAGCTTGGCAGCTGCTGTGAGCTGGATTCTTAGCTGCCCTGATCACTCTCTTGTCATAGGAGCGGAAGATGGGGGGGGGGGGGGGGGAGGGGGGGGAAGAAAGGAAAGGAGGGC